TTAGGCCAATCCAACTAAAAGTTTTAGATCAGGGGTTGCAAAACCTTTTCTAAAAATACAGGTAATAAATATTAAGGCTTTGCAAGAATATAGGTTATCTGTGATAACTCAATTCTCACTGAAGTGAGTTAAAAGCCTTAGACAACATGCAAACAAATGGGCATGACTGTGTTCCAAAAAAATGAAATAGCAATGGGCCAATTTGGCCTGCAGGCCAGTTTAACCTCTGGTTTTAAATCACAAGTTTGCTGTTTTAGGACTAGGGGTATACCTTAACAGTACAGCACTCGCTTAGAATGTGTGAGTTCCTGGGTGCCATACTCAGCACTGGAAAGCAAGAAGGAAGGAAGGAAAGAAGGAAGAAAGTAAGGAGCAAAGAAAAGGAAAGAGAAAGATCTTAATTCTATTGTTCTTCAGTGCAGCATTATTTATTTTTAAATCTTAGGGCTGGGGATGTAGCTCAGTGCTAGAATGCTTGTCTAGCATGGTGGGTACCACCACACCTAGCTACAGTATGCATTCTTTTTTTTTTTTTTTTTTAAGATTATGACTTCTCCATTTTATTTTTTAAATTTATAACTTAAGGATGTCAACTTTCAGTGTCATAGTCATATTCTAAAAAGTAATTAGATTTAGCAGTTTGCTGTGTGATTTTAGAATGCAAAGTACAATTATAAAGATGGCAATTGTTTCAAGCCTATTACACAACACGCATAAAAAGATTTAATAAAAGCACCATGGTTTTTTTTTAACTAATATTGCAGTGGTGGCAAAAATTCTGACACACATTTCAAATTTTAAGAAATAAAAAAAGGATTTATTTGCAAGATAACTCTTGCAAATAAAATAGCTGCAATTTTACTGATAATAAAATGGTTTGCAAATAGTATATTTTAATTTTAGTGCTAGTACACTGTAATAACTTGATACTTATATATGCATTGAATAATGTGTTATTCTTAAAAAATACCAGATTTAGCCAACAATATCTACTATCAAAGCTGGGTTCTCAAATATTTCATCTTGATTAGTTTTTGACCAAATCCAGTAGGTAGAAAAGTGAACTTAATTCCTTCAGATAAACATATTTAATTTACATATTAATAGCAACTTAAAATTATGTCATGACATGCAATAATGTGAGGGAAGTTAAAAGGGAAGTATTTATGATGTTTAATTTTAATCTTCCTTTTTATATATACCTTCCAGGCAGACTTCTTTCTTTATAATAAATTTTGTTCAAAAGATAAATAGTTTATGGAGGGATTATGCCTTATACTGGAGAAGTTCGCACGTAGTATCGGGGATTTTCACTACTCCTCTGTCGAACTGTTAACTACCTGGGAGGGAGGGAGCAGGAGTCAAGAACTGAAAGAAGTTGGTCTGTATAAAGGTTATAACAATACTTCTGAAAACATTAAACATATGACAAACATTTTTTTATAAGGCAGTCACTGAATAATTAGAATAAGCAGTCAGAAGAGTTCTGTTGTTGAAACATACATAATGTTCATCCAACCAAAGATTAGTGCATTTAAAAAAAAAAGTTAAGAAAAAAATCTTTTATGTTCCAGTTCAGCTGCACTTGATTCAAATGTTGCTTGCAGAGGTTTGTGTTGTTATAAATTAAACATGCTGCTGCCTTAGCAGCCAAAGATACTAGGAAAAATGTTAGTGTCACAGAATAAATAGAAGAGTCTCTTTCAAGCAAAAAGTTATCTTACACCAATCCGGGAAGTCATGCACTCCAGACCTTGGCATAACCCTTCCCCTGTTAAGAGCACAGCAGGGCTGAATGTGCCATGGATGGTCCTTAATTGAGCTAAGGGTGAGGTATTTAGAGATTTCAGCAGCAGTCATACACCCTTTCATGTCCTGTTTGTTTGCAAAGATAAGCACGGCAGCCTTCCTTAAATCCTCATGAGCCAACATTCTGTATAATTCTTCTTTTGTAATAGCTAGTCGGTCCCTGTCAATGCTGTAGACCACGAGAATGATGAACTCTGTGTTTGAGTAGGAAGTGTTCCAGGACGACCGCAGGGACTCTTGACCCCCGATATTCCACATAAGAAAATGAGTGTTCTTCACAACTATTTCTTCAACATTCCTTCCTATGGTTGGAGAAGTATGAACCACTTCATTCATTAAGAATTGATAAAGAATGGTGGTTTTCCCAGCATTATCCAGTCCCACTATAATTACTTTGTGTTCCTGGTTACAGAAGAGGCTCCACAGCTTCGCGAAGATCAGCCCCATCACGAGCCCCCCGCCGGGCCGCCGGCTCCCTCAGCATCGGTGCCGCCGGGCCGGGCCCCACACCGCGGCACTGGCCTTTGGGGACCCAGGAAAAGCCGCTACAGTATGCATTCTTAAAGCTTTAAATTTTCTCTTCAAATACAGATTTCAGCCCCAAACTCACATTCTATACTATCACATTGGCAAAATTCTGTCCATTTTCCTGGGCACGTTTGTGCTTGCCTCTAATTCCAGCAGTTGGGAGAAGGATCACTGCAATTTGAGGCCAACCTGGGCTATATAGAGAATTCAAGGCCAGTCTGAACTACATAGTGTGTGTATGTGTGGTCTGTCTATGGACCAAAACTTTGGTCAAACTCCAGAGTCCTTTCTGACTAGCCAAATCTTGGGGTTCCCTCTGTCCTCGAGAAATCCCATTTGAGCAAGAATCCTGCTAAATCAGTTTAACAAACATAACCCCACTCTTGGTATCTTAACTACTCTATAATAACACTCCCATCAAGTCAGCTGAACCAGAAATCCCTTATCTTTGACCATTTCTCTTAAGTTTCTAACCACTGATCCCATCCTGCTCTTTGATTATAAATCTCCACTTGTTGGAGTTAAGAGTTGAGTTCAAGGTGGGTGTGGTGGTGCTCACCCACAATCCCAGCACTTGGGAGAGGGCAGCAGGAAGATTGCAAATTTGAAGCCAGCCTGGGATACAGAGTTCAAAACCACCCTGAACTATATAGTGAGAGACCCTGTCTCAAAAACCTAAAACAAAGACTGAAAATACACTTCCAATTATAGTGTTGAAGAGTTAAAGCAAAGCCAGGCATGGTGGTGCATGCCTGTAATCCCAGCACACAGGAGGCTGAGGTGGGATGATCACTTTTGAGCTCTACATAGTGAGTTCAAGGCCAGTCTGAACTGCATAGTGACTCTGTCTCAAAAAACAAAAACACAAAAATAGTAAAGGATACAGATCACAGCCTCATAAAATGAATGATACACTGAAATGTATGATTAATAAAAAAACCTTGTATGATACTATTCTATTTTAAAATGCTAAATGATGTGGGAGGTAGGGCACACCTGTTATACTAGCACTCAGGAGGGTGAGTCAGGAGTACTGAGTTTGAAGCTAGCCTGGGGTACATAGGGAATTCAAAGGTGGCCTGGACCACATGGTGAGACCTTGTCTCAAAAAATCAAAATAAGCGAATGAATCTAGACAGGACACCTAATAGTTAATACTAGACATAATTTGGAACTTCCAGAGGAAGTTCAAAACTAAATTCAAGCTTTTAAACATACACTAATGCTTCAAGTGCCCATCTGTCATTTAATAACAGAATCTCAGTTTTCCTGCTCATAAAATGGAGTAATACCTACCTTACAGGTTGTTTTGATGGAAAATATTTTCCATGAAGGAAGTAACAGAGTATACTGAACAAGATTTCATTAAGCATAGCTATTTAACAAATATAAACAAGTACAAATAGTTTGCACTTAAACCTATACTGAGTTTCCATGAGCCATGAATTAGCAGCTAAACAAGCCAAAGAATAATCCCATGTCTAACCTTCTATTACCTTTGTTCAGCTGACAGTATACAGCAGGTCTTAGAAGGCTCTGAAGTCTGAGTTGTCCTTATCCAGTATAAATAAAATCCTCTAGCTTCTCCACATTTTTCTCCAAGATATCAAAAACAAGCAAATCCAAAAAAAGACTTCACACACAAGTAAAATTTAATTTCTGTATTTTACTACCTCCAAATCTTGATTTTTAAAAGATTTTAACCAAAACAAAAAAACATTGTCCTTGTATTTATGTGTGGTACTTGAGATGGAATTAGGGGTGTTCTACCACTGTGCTGCCCACATTGTATTTTCCCCTGCTCTTTTTATTACATTGAGACAGGGTCCAGCTAAGTTGCCCAGGGTGGCTGCAAACTTTTTCTTTTTGTTGTACTGGTGACTGAACTAAGGGTCTTATTGCTAAGTTGCCCAGGCTTGAATTTGTTATCCTCCTGCCTCAGCCTCGAGTGTAGGGGTTACAAGTGGGCATCACCACACCTGGCTGGCCTGGAACTTCTGATCCTATTGGACTATGCCAGCTTTGTGTCCATTTTAGAGGAATTTCAGAAATCACACAAAGAATAAGCATTCAATATTCCAAGTTGTAGCTACTGATAAGGAGGTTCTGTAGTTTAAAAAAAATATATTCTAAAAATTGCCATTTTTTTGTCATAATATTTATTTTGAAATTCCAAATAATACTAAAAAGGTGTATGAACTTTAAAAAATATATATATATATAAAGAGGGTGTAAATAAAAAAAATTAGAGAAACACTGCCCTAGAATTTTTGTAGAACATAAAATTGTTATCTTTCATCACTATTCTATTGTGCCTTACTATAAAAATACAGACGGCACAGTTCTGATATAGCTTTAACAACTTGATTATAAATTGCTTTCAAAAGTAATTTATTTGGATTTTCCATATTCTTTAATGAATTGCAAATATATTAACAGAAAAGCCCCCCCCCCCAGGCTGTACAATTTCTGAAATAAGTCAGGAAAAGCAAAAAGAAGACACAAAGTTACATTGTTTCAATGCAAATAGAACACACACATCATACCCACACCTGCATTTTCCCAGGTTTTCACAAAGAAAATGAGTCATTGTTTTTCTTAGTGAAGACCCATACTATACTCTGACTAATCAGAGACTCTGAAACTGTTTTCTTCCAAAAAAGTATTTTTAATAGACTAAACACTAGTTATCACTGAGTTTTTGTTTAAGATACAACAGCAGCATGGTTTAAAATGTTACTTGCAGTTCTTGGAAAAAATAAAAAATTTAAAGTAATGAAATACAGAAAATAGGGGCCACCTTTCATTATTTTTGAATACCACTGTTTTTTTGAAAAAATAATTCAACCTTTTAAAATCCCAGAGTAATAACTTTTCCATGGGGGGGTGGAAATTCAATGCTGTAACTTCTGACTAAAAGTATGTGTGGGTGTGTGTTTTGTGTGAAAAGTTTATAGAAAAAAAGATATCAAAGTACACATAGCATCTTCAATTTCCTTCAAAGTATCTTCTGAAATCTGAAGCAAACATTTTGCCTGACCAAAATTTGTTTCTTCTTTTCTGATCCCCATTCAATGCAAAAAAAGAAAAAAAGGGGGGAAAAAAAAAAGAGAAGAAAAAGGGGGGGGGAGAAAAAATAAAGAGCAAGAAATTTACTAGGTGAGAAATAAATCAGGCCAAGTGTGGGCCGAAAGTCCCTCAGCCAGCTCCTTGCCATGCTGTGGCATCTTTTTATCCTTGGTCTTAGAATCAGTACCAGAAAGTCTCACTGGCACAGGACATAAATTTCTACTACAAAAAGATAACTATACATCAGCAAATTACATTCTTAGATTAGCTTTCTCCAGGTTTTATAATATAGAACTCAGGTTGAAGCTTTTTATGAAATTCTGGATCTGGTAAGTGTTATATAGCTGGTTTATGATTTATTAAAAAAATAAAAGAATAAAAAATTAAACATTACAGAACTAATGGATAATAAAATGGAATATTTGTTAGAATCCAAGTGCTAGCCTTTGGGAATTTTTAATGGTATAAATTTATTCCCAACTTTTCCTTTTCTTTATAAATTATTATTACTTTTTAGACAGCACATAAACATAGATTTAGGTAGGAAATTTTGTTAAATGTCTCTCTGGTACCTAATACCTAATCCAAGACTTTGACTTGAATTAATTTATAATGGTATCTAATCCATGTTTGATGAGATCAACAGTAAATGACAGAAAATTACTGAGTCTAAAGGCTAAAAGTTTTCTTCAAATCTTTTGTAATCCACCATATTTTCACAGCTTGACTAACAAATACAGGTAACCAGTAGGTAAGTTTGTCCTTCATCAAATAATCCAAAATAATAACTGTAGGCCTGTCATTCATAAGAAACTATAATTCATTATATTCTGATATTGGCACTTAATAAAATGTTAGCAACTAAAGTTTCTCTAAAATTTTAAATACATTACAGTAAAGGAGATACACAATTTAAGACTGTTTAAATCTGTTATTGTGACATTCCAATAATTCCCATTTTATATGCATAATTAGATCTTTAAAATTGTGGCCATTTCCCAGACATCAACCTACAATGATCTCAAGAGAGAACCTGTCTCCTTCATACGAATTTTTCTCCCCCAAGTTAAAAATCTCTAATATCCTACACTTAATTACTCTCATTAAAAGTTCTGATGACTCATACTACTGAAAGTAACCAGGAGCACAGAGGTGAAAAGAATGGAAATAACCTCAACAAAGGTAACCACACCTTGCACTCTGTTTAAACATTTATAAGTCAAGAGGGATACTGTCTTGAGCAAATGTGGATTTGAGGTCATGGTACAATTCTGATTGTATTAAGGCTTTTGCTATCATGATCTCTTAAAGTCTCTCTGTAATGTTACCATACTGACGGTGAACGAAAGTGGTTATTAAGGGCCTTATTTTGGCTTTTCAGTGGGGAGTCACTCTATAATCTCTGAATGTTAAAGGTGATCCCACAGAATTCAAAGAGACTAGGCAATATGGGAGGAACCAATTCTAAAGTTTGCAATACCAAGACAACAATGATCAACACTTTGAAGCAAGATGAAGAAAATTAAAATTCTTGGTAAGACATTAAAGCATTCTTGCCAAGAGTAAGTGTATACTGTATGGAAGGAGATTTGATTCCTACATATGAGTCTGAATATGCCCACTATATTTGTTCACAGGAGACACTCCAAGTTTAAGGTAATTTACATTCCTTGGCAATCAAGTTACTCTGTTATAGGCAATGTCTTTTATTGTTCCATCTGGCACTTGCTAACACCATTCTTGAATAACCTAGAAATGAAGGTCAGTCACTCTGTTTATCAGGAACAGAACCAAATAAAAACAAATTTCTGGAAAAATGACCAAGCTGGTTCATCAGTATTTTCCATATCTAAAGGTTCCTTCAAGATAAAACATAACTCTTCCTCTCATGATAGCTTTGCAACTAAAAGAGGTTAAAGAAAAAAGAAAGTTCCCACCCTACCCCCCTAAATTGTCATTCATACTGGTAAAAGAGCCAGTCTTGTTAGCAGCTAAATATTGCACTGCCTTTCATTCTTTGTACAGTCGGGTCCCACAAAAGTGGCACACTCATGGTGTGACAAATGGTGACACTGACAGCTCAAGAGTGAAGACTCAGTGTATGGAGGGACAAGGACACATCAGCACTGGTCACATGTCCAGTCGCAAAAGTCTGATTTCCAGAAGTTAAAATTCATCACTCTCAGCTGCATGAAGTTGTGTGTCGTCTGCATCTGTCATGCTGCTCTCCTGGGATTCATCTGTTCCCACTTTAAAAATGAAACAAAAATCTACAGTAAGATGTTTGATAAATACATCTTGTTGCTTCATGAAAAAAACAAGTACTATATGAAAAACTGCATTATACTCAGAAATGAAATCCTAAATAAAGACCATCAAAAAGTCTAATATTCTTCTTTTTTTGTTTTGAGACAGGGTCTCACTACATAGTTCAAGCTGGCCTTCAACTCACTTGTAGCCCAGACTGGCTTTGAACTTGAAGTGATCCTCTTGTCTCAGCCTCCTGAGTGCTGGGATTATGGGTGGTCACCAACACCCAGCTTCAAACATTCCTTAATAAATGCAATTCCTCATTTTATAGCATGACTGAAATTAATTTACTGTATTTAATCTTTAAGGATTTTTCTTTTTTGGTACCAGGGATTGAACTCGGGACCTTCCAGCCTGCAAGGAAGTGGCAGAACCTCTGAGCTAAATCCCCCCAGCCCTAAACCTTTAAAGATTTTAACCGCTAAAACTGACTCTCCCTAATCAATTCCTTATTCCTGTCCTAAGAATTAAGAAATAGTTCTGAGACCAAAAAACTAACATTTTCTCTAACCCACAAATACTGACTCCACTTTTAACATGATCCCTGCTAGTTCACAGAAATATAGAATCTTTAGTTTAAAAAGGATTATTGGATTATAGGATTGATAGTTTTCTCTTTTTGTGGGGAGGCAGGGTCTCATGTAGTTTAGGCTGGCCTTCAAACGACTATGTAGCCCAGGCTGGCATTGAACTCACAGCAATCCTCCTGTCTCAGCCTCCTGAGTACTGAGGTTACAGGTATACAATACCACACTCAGCTGGACTGATAGTTTTAAGTCTTTTACCAAGTTTTCTGCAACAAGGGCGTGTAATAAGAATTTATATGATCAGAAATTTCTCAATTCTCCTACTAAATTATGGATACATTAAGTCTTGGTTCTTTTTTTTTGGTACTGGGGATTGAACCTGGGTCCTTGTGCTTGTGCAGCAGGCGGTGAAACCACTGAGCTAAATCCCCAGCCCAAGTCTTGGTTCTTATTAGTTATTTGAAAATGTACACTCAATTTAGAGATAAAGCATAAACTGCTTTAAAATATAATTATTTGCTCTCTTCCCTTGACCCCTAGAGTTATATTTATTTTAAGCACAGTTTGGATTTTGGATTTCTCAGAGATATAGATTTTGAACAGGTACTACTACAGATCTGTCAAGACTACAAAATGTAACAAGTTTATTATTACTTATTAAGCATTTATTAGTCTCTGTTCTGGATCTAGTCTGTTCTGATTCTGACTAATCCACTGGTCAATTTGAGTTTGAATAAATAACTATTACCTGACTCTATATGCACTTAGATATTAAATCACCATATTCAATTTCTCTAAAATTCCATTTGATATAAATAAAATAGCACAGTTAGAAAAATAAAAAAGCACAAAAATTCTTAAAAATTAGCTTTCTTACTCAAAACCCTACATACAATACTCACTGATCTGTTCTTCTTGGGTTATAGGTTCCTCATCATCTGGAAGATAGCGCTTATCAATTGCCTCTTTAATCTGGTTATTGGCTCCTTTAGGATCTAAATCCATAGCCCAAGAGAAATTCATCAGGGCGAGGTGCGTTTGACCTAACTTCTTGTAAACCTAAAAATAAACAGCAGCACTACATTTTTCATTAAGTTGTGAACTTCAGCTATAAAATCCTAAACATTTATAATATAAATTAGGTTCCTGATGTGTTCTAAATCCATTCTGATGGGTAGGAGATTTTCATCTTACCAATAAACTCATACTAGTTTTATAGTTCTTTTTAAATATAATCAGATATTATTTTCAAAATGCTTGCTTCTTTTAGATAGTGAATTTCTAATAAATTTCACTGATCAGAACATTAACAACGGAAAAAATGGAATATAAAAGCTGCTTAACATTCATTTACATTGATTTTAAATGGAATTATCTCAACCCTTACACCTGGCTATGGTACCCAGCACATTAGGGAGCCCAGTCTGTAAAATCCTGACCAGTCTTGGCCTTGGTCTTAGAAGCCATTTCCTCTCATCAAGACAACACAGTGCTATTGATGTTCTTCTGAGTGATTTATATTTTATTTTATTGAGAATTGAAGTTAAAGGCTTTCTAGGAGGTAGTCCAGTTATGAGCTCATTGCTGGCCTGGGGCTGCATATGCTAATCTATTTTAAATAGCACAGCAGGGTTTGGATTATGCGGTGTGTGTTTTGCTCCTTCTTTAGGATATCATCTTAAATGCTACAATAGAACTAAATCCATTATTCTTAGAGCACTCTGTTAAATATGCTTAATAAACATAAAAATAAATATTATATTTATCCTTTAAAAGTTAATATTTGTTATGAAAGTTAGCAGTGTAGGACCATGACCCAAATCTTTACCTTTCCTATTAAGAAGTAAACAAGAGATTCTTTGGGAACAATCTGTTTCAATTCTTCAAGTTCTTGTAAAGCAGACTGAAAAAAGACAAAGAAAAACCTTAGAGTAGCAAAAGTTTACAAAGTTTCAACTAAGCAAGTGTTTCCCAAAGCATCCTAATAAAAGCTTACTAGATCTTAATTCATGTGTTTCCATATTGCATTAATTCTTGTTAAAATAAAATATACAAAAATCACTTGTGTGACAACAGAACTAAGAATTGGCAGGCATTCACCAGAGTACATTTAACACACATACACATACTCTACAGTCTCAAAAACAAACAAATAAACAAACTTCATCACATTATGTGTGGAGGTATATGAAAATGCTTTGAAAACTAAAGTGCAGACCACATTAAGATCTAAAGTTCTGGACCTCCTCCACGATGCAAGCACTAATCGTTGACTACCAAGCTGTCTAATTTTAACTTATGAAATAATATTTAGCCTTCTAAACTGAATTGAACTGTCTAGTAATCTTTTGACCCCTGAAAGAGTTGGGAAAATGAGAAGAAATATAGAAAAAGAATCAGATTTATGTTTAAAGAAGAAATATCATCACTAAAAATAATACCAGGGCTGGGTGTGGCGGCACAACCTGTAATCCCAGCACTTAGGTTTGAGGTCAGCCTGAACTACATAGCAAGACCCTGTCTCAAAACAAACAAACAAACAATCCCACCCACCTTGGATCCCCCAAATAAGATATTGTCTTATTTTTCACCAAGTAAATGGGCAAAAATAAAAATAATTTTATGTGACATACGTTAGCACAAACAAGAGGAAACAGATATTCTTGTCACTGAAGGTAGAAGTGTAAGATAATGCAACCTGTTTGTGAAGACAATTTTTTTTTTTTTTTTTTTCGAGACAAGGTCTCAGTATGTAGTCCAGGCTGGCCTTGAACTTACTTTGTAACCGAGATTGGCTTCAAAATCCTGGCAATCCTCCTGTCTCAGCCTCTCAAGTGCTGGGATTACAGGTGTATGCCACCATGCCCAGCTTGTGAAGACAATTTCTGGCAAGTTAAAATCTGCATGTCACCACTGATTCAGCAATCCCACTATAAAGAATCTTTCCTGGGGATATACTACAAAAAAAAAAAAATTCACCAAGTTCCCCCCTTTTCACTGCAGTACTGGGGATGGAACCTAGGGACAAACTAACACTGAGGAACACTCCCAGGCTTAGGGATTTATTTATTTATTTTTTGTCCTGCACATTGAACCCAGGGACTTTGAACTGAGCTACACCCCATCCCCCTCCTTTTCTGGGAGATCCATCCCCTTTGTTATTCTGAGGTAGCTGCCCAAGCTGGGATCAAATTTTGGTCCTCTTACTTCACCCTAGCAAGTAGCTGGGATTACAGGTGTGTGCTAGCATACTTGGCACCAAGTCATCATACAGTTTAAGAACATTCAACCCAACATCATTTTTATTGCAAAACACTACAATCATGGTGTCTAACTTCAGCCTAGTTAAATAAATCCTGGTCCATTCTTCATGGAGTACTAGATTTATAGGTGTTAAATTGTAGCTTAAAAAAAAGCAAAAACAAGACCTAAGTACTATGTCCATGTGTCAAAACATACACAACACTCCATACACATAATATACTTAAAGTGGGTACATATGAGTTTTCTATATTATGAATATTTTACTTTATTTTCATGTCTACAGAGATTATCCGCCTTTTTTTCTAAGAATACTGGGGACCAAATCTAGGACCTCACATATCCCAGGCAAGCACAAAATCAGCTGTTTCTATTTATTTTTACATATGTATGTATATACATGTGTGTGTATATTTTTGAGACAGTCTTGCTATGTAGTCCTCGATATCTTATAACTTGTGACCCTCCTGCTTCAGCCTCCCAAATATTGGGATTATAACTGTGTGCCACAATGCTTAAAACTTTAGTTTTAATTCCTTAGAAAGAGTATGAGGATAAAGAATAGAAGTACAGTGGTGCACAACTGTAATCCCAGCAACTCTTGAGAGTCTGAGGCAGGAGGATTGCAAGTTTTTTTCTTTTTTCATCAAGTTTATTGGTACATTTTAGGTATACAATACAATGACATTCATCATTAAGAACTTGTACCTTTACATGTTATATCTTGGTTCTTATTTTTTCCCCATTCCCCTAGACTCCCTTCAACCCCTCCACCCTTCCCTATTTACAAAGACTTTGTTTCCATTTTTTCCTTTTCTCATATTTTTAGGAGGATTCCAAATTTGAGCCCAGTCTTTGTAATACAAAACCAAACCAACCCAACCCAACCCAACCCCAACCCCAACCCCAACCCCAACCCCAACCTCAAAAGCAAACCAAAAAAGGCTAGAGATGTAGCTCAATGGGAAAGTCCTGGGTTTAATCAAGCCTCAGTATCAGTGGTGGTGGTGGGGAAGCTATGTTTTCCAGGTAAGCATGTAAGTGGTCCACCTAGGGCATCCTTAATACCTCTCATCCTCTTTCTAATGGCCAGCAACATGAGAGAAATTCAAAGCAAATGACAGGGTGAATATGTCTGAGAATCAAACCTTTTTGTTAAGGAATAAAAAGATTTATTACAAATGATAATTTTATAAGGTAGATTTGTTCTTTCTTCTTCCCATAATATTAAATAATGCAGGATATATACGGAATAGTTATCAAAATAAAAGGTGCATGATCATGGATATTAGCTATTTATGACCTTGAGTTATACTTGTAAAATATTATGAAATATTGATGAAGTCTGTTTCACAACGAAGAGGCCTGAAACTGATTTTAATACTTCGGGCAGAATTTCTCATGCTTTTTGGTCTCAGAATTAAAAACAAAACAAAATAAAAAACACCCCCCAAAAACAACTCATGATACCAGATGTGCCAGGACATTTTCATTTTCTTTTTTTTGTTGCTTTTTTAGACACAGTCTTGCTATGTTGCCTCGGCTAGTTTCAAACTGATGAGCTCAAGTGATCTTCTTGCCTCAGCCTCCAAAGCAGGTGGGACTGCAGTCATGCACCACCATACCTCCAGTATAGTGTGTGTGTGTGTGTGTATTTTCTATACTGTTTATCATTATTTTATTTTATTTTTTAAATTTTATTTTATTGGTACACTTTAGGTATTCAATATAATGATATTCATCATTCCTCCAGTATATTCTTGAAGTTTATCAAGGAACCCAATGAGTTTCTGTTAATATGGGTTATATCTATCATACTTACCAGAAATTAAAAGTGACAGGTTTTGAAAATATTTATTACTAATTTAAAACAAACCCATTACATGTTAAAATAGATAATATATTTTTAGTGAATAATAACTGAAGCTTTTTAGAACAAAAAGTTAGTGAGAAGTGTAGTGATGTTTAACTTTTTCTTTTGGTGATGCTGGGGGCAGAATCCCGGGCCTCATACTGTTGGGTAAGAGCTCTGCAACTGAGCTATGTACCCAGCACCTTTCAAAATTTTTATTTTGACACAAGGTCTTGGTAAATTGTGCAAATGGCCTCCCAGCTGTGATCCTCTTGTCTCAGCCTCCTGAATAGCTAAGATTGCAGACTTTAAAAAAAAAACACTTTTATGTAAATCTCTCATTGACAGAAGATATTCAATCTGCTACGATACCATATTGTCATGTAACATTTGGGAAATTCCACTGTCCATCCATGGTAAGTAAAAGTGAAAGAGGTAAGCAGCATCTAGATATTTTTGTTTTGGTTTTTTTGGAGACAAAGTTTCCCTGTGTAGTTCAGGCTGGCTTTGAACTCACTATGTAGCCCAGGCTGGCTACATAAGTGATCCTCCAGCCTCAGTCTCCCATGGCTTAGGAGTACAGGTTTATGCCACCATGCCCAGGTAAAATCTAGATTTTTTTTTTTTTTTTTGGTACCAGGGATTGAACTCAGGACCCTGTGCTTTCAAGGCAGGCGCCGGAACCACTGAGCTAAATCCCTGACCCACATCTAGATATTTTTACGAAAGTAGTTTTGACTTTCTGAAATAGGTTTGTGGACTCTAGGAAGTTCACAGTCCACACTTTGAAAATCATCACTCTCAGTATGACATATTCCAATTCTTCACTGCTACAACACATACAACTGAGAACTGTTATGTGTTTTTTTCTGTGACTGTATAATTGTTACCAAAATTTTATGCTACTATATCATGCATCTCCCTAATTTAGAACTAGTATCCAATATAGCATCAGAGTTTTTACTGTTTTTTTTTTTTTTTTTGGGTACCAGGGATTGAACTCAAGAGTTTTTACTTTTGCCCTAAAAGTCTTAAGACTTAAATGATTAGATACTGGTAGAACAAGTAAATAGGGTGCTGGCTAGAGTTTTGCTAGGTAGTCCAGGGTGGCCTTGAACTCACTATGTAGCCCAGGCTCGCCTTAAACTCCTGGATGATTCTCCTGCCTAGCCTCCTGAGTATTGGGATTACAGGCATGTGCCACTGTGCCCAGCCTGAAGTGGCACTTTTATACCACTTGATTTCTATTTTGGATCTAGGGCATTTTATAAACAATCAGTAACTTTTTTTTTTGGTACCAGGGATCGAACTTGGGTCCTTGCACTTGCGCAGCAGGTGGCAAAACCACTGAGCTAAATCCCTGGCCCAACAATCAGTAACTTTTAAAAGTCCTTCCTGTAACAGTCATCAACTTATATTCAATGTAGGCCTCAAACTCATATTCATCCAAGCATTAGACTCATATTCTAAAATGGTTGTACACCATGCTTCATAGCACAGACAGCTGATCAGATTAGAACACGGGCTTTTTTTTTTTGGAGACAAAGTTTTGCTATATAGTTGGCCTTGAATCTTCCTGCCTCAGCTTCCTGAGTGCTGGAATTATAGGTATGTGCCACGATACTCAGTTTAGAACATGGGCTTCTTGAAGCAAGTCTAAGGCTGATTTACTTGGCATGTCTTGTAGGTATGCTGGTATTAAAATGGTGTTAATAAATTGAGTAAAATCTTTCAATTAAAGAAACTGACTACATATTTAAAGTAATACGATAATATAAACCCATGAAAATATATAATTATAGGACCTTGAAGAAAAAATTAAGCTGGTGTGGTGCAAGATGGTAATCCCAGCACTTGAGAGGCTGAGGCAGAAGGACTATCACAAGTTTGAGGCCAGCCTGGGGTACATAGTGAGTTCAAGGTTAGCTTGAACTAAAAGTGAGACCCTGTCTCAAAAAAATAAAATAAAAAAATAAAATAAAATTTGGAAAGTGATTATTAAATATAAAAGAACTTTTTTTTTTGGTACCGGGGATCAAACTCGGGTCCTTGCGCTTGCGCAGCAGGCGGCGAAACCACTGAGCTAAATCCCCGGCCCCAAAAGAACTTTTTAAAATGATAAAACATAGCCAGGCATAGTGGTGCAGAATTATAATCCCAGCACTTGGGAGGCTGAGGCAGAAGGATTAGAAGTTCTAGCCCAGCAACTCAGCAAGTCCCTACGTCAAAATAAAAATTAAAACAAGACTGGGGATGTAGCTCAGTGTGAAGGACCTGGGTTTAATATCCAGTACTGGAGGTTGGTGTGTGTGTGGGGGGAGACACAATAACTAGAACTACTGAATAAATGACCAAAAAAACAAAAACAAAACTATATATTTAATCCCTCTATATATCTTTATTAGTCTTCAAAAAAGTCAGGATATAACTAGTTTGGTACTTTTCAATTTCAGCAAATATCAATGTGTACTGGAAGAATACATTTCTAGAGAAAGAATCTATTTATTTATTTATTTATTTATTTACCTAGAAAAAAAATCTACTAGAATGATAATTTGGCCCCAGTTTATCTGAGTACTGTACTTAAGTTTTACTTACTTCCTTAGTAGTTCTTACTCTTTTTTTAGAAAGAGCCTGAGTTTATTAAGATAGAAGAAACCTGAAATTTAAATAATAAATTTTGGATTCATGGATTATAATTAAATAAAATTATAAGAAAATCTTATGTCACTTTGTTTTTCTTACATTCTTTTCTCAACTCTTATCAAGCCACAGATCTATATTTAAAAGTGAAAGAAAAAAACAGATCTAGTCTCCTTGTTATAAGCTCTTATAACTCACTACATGTGCTCAACATAGTGAGAATATTTTTATTTCTTTTCTATTTATTTGCTCAGTACCTGTTCTCCTTCTTGAGGAGTAATGTATGTGTATTATTCAAAAAATATTTATTGGACTACAGGTATAGTTCAGTGGTAGAGTGCCTGCCTCTCATGTGTAAGGCCTTGGTTTAATCCCCATCACCACCAACAAAAAAAGGAATGGCAAGAAATGTGATCACGAGACTACTATATTACTGGTGCCTGACACATTAGGCACTCAAGAAAATTTTGTTGTTGTTGTGGCTGGCTATCAAACCCAAGGCTTTACACATGCTAGGCAAGCACTCTATCACTGAACTATACCTGTAGCCCAATAAATATTTTTTGAATAATGCACATATATTCATTTGTCACCTATTCACTTATTTTGGTCCTAAGAGGATGGTTCAGATCTTAAAATAACTCCCTGTCTTTCTATATACAGAGTCTTTACAAAGGATAACCATATATTTCAAGATACTTACACACCCATCTTTCCTATGTATTTCATGAAGAAATAAAATCACAAAAGAAAATGAAATTAATAGTTTTTGAAAAAGGAGAAAATGAATTGTCTCAGATCAAAAATTAAAAGTACAAGAAACTTAGTTATTAAAAGAAGGGACACAATTTAAACAATACAGCATGGTAGATGATTGAGACATATACATTACCTTATATTTTTCATTTGCAAATAAAACTGAGGCTCTGTGAAATTTGCATAGTGGGTTCTTGGGATCAATAACAATGGCTTTGTTTAGGGTATCCAAAGCCTTCTCAGATTTTTTCAGTGCATGCTGAACCTGTAAAAAGTAAAGATCTTATTAATGATTCCTCTTAATATTTATGAACAAAGGTGAGAACTAAATACAGTAATGTGACTCAAAACCAATATAAAGATAACAAAACTATTAAGAGAAGAAGTTGTATGGCCTACTTGGGTTGTCCACTGTATTAAGTGGACTTTATAATTAATCATCCAATGATTAATAGATTAAATCTTTTTCAATAAAAACACTGAAAATCACATTATTTTAAATAATGTGATTTGGAATGAAAACCTAGGTGCTCTGGTTACCAATCCATCACTATGTGTCCATTAATGATAATCACAATTCTATCTTTAGAGCAGGTATTTGGTTACTTTAAATCTAAAAAACAAGCAAAACTTGGTCTTCCCTTTACAAGAAAAATGTGTATCATTTAGACAGATAACATATTTCAACACTTATGGTCCTGTAAATATTCAGTTCTTCAAAACTCTCTCAAAGAACCTGTTTATAGGGTTGGGGATTTAGCTCAGTGTTGCTGCCACCTGCCTCGAAAGCACAAGGTCCTGAGTTTGATCCCCGGCACCAAAAAAGAAAATAAATAAATAAAAAAGAACCTGTTTATATCACTCAGAACAATGACCTACTTTAGGGACTTATTTAAAAAACAGAGGATGGTACTGGGACTCAGCTACACAGTGCTCTTCTACACTCGATCTTAGCCAAAGGCCAAGAAGCAATACAGCGCTCTTTTAACATGCAGGAAGAAGCCCAGGGTTCGACCTCCTTACCCCAAATTTCATTTGAGTCATAACAATCCTGTGAGGTAGACAGGATAGTTATTACTTATCATTCATAAAACAGTTCTGGAAAGCTAAATGACTTGCCCAAGGGAAAAGAACACACCAGTAATACTTCTTTATGCTAAGCCAAAAAGTGTTTTAGGCTGTGAAAGACTCTTGGAATACTGTTTCAATAATAGTAACGAAAAGCCCTAATTTTCACTATAGCAATTAAGTCAAGTAACAAATTTATTTATTTAGATTTTCTGAGACAGGGTCTTGCTATGTAGTTCAGGCTGGTCTTGAACTCACTATGTAGCCCAGGCTGCCCTTGAATTTGTGGCAATCCTCCTCACTCAGCCTCCTGGGTGCTGGGGTTATAGGTATGTGCCATCAGACCTGGCTAACAAATGTATTTTAAAAGGGAGATAACAGAACAGTAATTTTAGAAAGTTACTTACTACTCCAATGTGGCAAAGTAAAACTGAACTTTGAGGATTGATATCAAGTGCTTTCTGGAAATGCATTTCTGCAAGGCTGAATTTTTCTTGTTTGTAATAAATCATTCCTAAACCATACCTGCAAGTATAAAATACAGTATATTATTAAATTTACAACTTTTGGCTGCTAGTTTAGTTCAACTAATAATGGACTATGCATGGTATCTGGCATTTTAATAAGCCAGCGGAAAAATACTGGTGGCCTCCTAGGGGAGGCAAAAAGTATCAGTCATGGTAAACATTGTTAAAAGATTTTACTTTATTTTTTATTAAACCATTTTAGAAGAGATACTGTTGTAAGTAAAAACAGTAAGTCAAATTAATCAATCAAAATTATGATAATGGAGAAAAAAGAAACCAAATCCTTAACTACCATACTTCAGACTTAGTATCAAGTTTCTACTGAGTGATTACTGTGTTTGTGCTAAGAACTCTGTTGAATTCTTTATTTTGAGACAGTTTTGCTATGTTTCCCAGGCTAGTCTTGAATTCCTGGGCTCAAGTGATCCTCCTGCCTCAGCCTACTGAGTAGTTGGGACTACAGGTATGCACTACTGTCCTTGGCTCTGCTAAATTCTTAACATGAATTATTTCATTTAATCCTAGGGAGAATCAAGGAGACAGGTTCTGTTATTATTCCCAATTTCAAATTAGGAAACTGAGGCTCAGCAAAGTTATATAACTTGCTTAAAGTTATATGACTAATAAGGATTCTAGCTAGCTGTTTATTTATGACTCTAAACCTTGAACCCCTAACAGTGTTCTGTTCATATTTTGTCCAAATCCATATGCATATAAAAATATACATCAATGTAATTACAGGATACATAATGGTACCTATCTACAGCTTTCCTTCCTCCCATTTACTATATTAAAATCATGTTCTACGTTTATAGACTTCAAAATTATAACTGTTAAAGGTTATATAATAGTGTATCAGGTTAATATACAGGCATTTCTCAAGAATTTTCAAAATGTCAACTGAATACAGTACGTATGGATACATAAAAAGATATCTTTTGGCCATAAAGAGATAATAAGGAGCAAGCACCAAATGGATATGAAAAAAAGCACATTATATGAGTGGCTTTGTTAATCATTACAGTGGTGCTATATGTGGTGAAAAGGTATAAAGACTGTGCTAATGATAGCAAAGGTAGAAACGAAAAAAGAAAGGTTACTGACTTTGGAATCTGAATAATAAATTTACTGGTGTTTAGCTGGATACTTAATGTTATCCAAATAATTCAGCATTTAAATTCTTCCCAGTGAAAGCTCCCCAGTCTAGCCCTCCTCATACAATTTTCTCTGTATGTGTATGTGTATGGGTGTGTATGGGTGTGTGTGTGTGTGTGTGTGTGTGTGTATGTGATACTGGAGACTGAACCTGGGGTGCTCTACTATTGAGCTATATCCCTAGCCTGTTTAATTATCTTTTTAAAATTTTAAGACAGGGTTGTACTAAATTGCCTAGGCTGGTCTCAAAATTATATTCCCGACTCAAGCCTTCCAAGTAGCTAGGATTACAGGTGTATACCATAGTGCCTGGACATAACACAATTTTTGATATAGGAGAGTTCCTAAAAATTTATTACTGGGTGGGGTGGTACACACCTATAATCCCAGTACTTGGATAGCAGCAGTTTGAGTTTGAGGCCAGCCTGGACTACATCTGGCAAGACCTGGTCTCAAAAAAAGAATTTAACTACTGCAAAATAGCAAAAGAGATCCCACATATTTAAAAGGGAAGATAAATCCTAGTAAGAACTGAGTTCTTTTTTAAAAATTAACTTGTAAATTCAATTTGATAAAAGATGAACAGGAAAAGATATAGAGGCAAGGAGAAAAAAAGATAGTATTTTATATATCAAATGCAAGCCCTGCTTTTTTCACACAAGGTCTCACTATGTAGCCCAGGCTGACTTCAAACTCCAGTGATCCTCCTGTCTCAGCCTTCTGAGCGCTGGGATTACAGGTGTGTGCCATCATGCTTGGTTGTTTTTTCTTAATTAGTATATGTTTGTGATACATAATAATTATATTCATCTA